TTGAAATCCTTACGATATTTTTTATTAGTTCTTCCGACGCGCGCGTGTGCACCTCGCCGATTTGTTTGCGAGGTCTTTTTGGGAAGGGATGCTTTCTGAGAAGCGAGTGCGCGTGGTTAGTATGTTTTGCGCGGGGTGAGGGTGGGGGATGTCGGTGACGCGGTGGTGACGTGAACTCATTGTTAGGTTGGGCGATGGGGCAGCATCACATGTTCATTGCAATGCGGAAGAAAGGGTTCGTTAAGTTCGAGGAGGGGTACATCCCAATTCAAAAAAAACAACGGAAACCGCGGTGGCGCTGACAGCTGGACACTCCCAGCGGGCACTTCATCGCGAGTCGGCGGCTTGGGCGGGCGCACTACCATGGCGACGCCGACAACGGCGGGCGCGATTATGGGAGCAGCGATGATGGTGGCGATGGTGGCGATGACGACGGCAAGGCCAATGGTGGCGCCGATGTTGATCGCGCTCGCCGATAAAGATGACACTATCCTCGCGTCGGCGATGGATTGGTGGAGGAGTTCGACATGCGCGCGCGGCCGACACGCGCGAGTGGCCTGCGCGGTACGAGTTGACGCGGGTCGTGCCCCACCCCCCCCAGCACGTGCGCAAGAGCGTTCGACCGATTTCCACGCGCGGCGCGGGAGGCCCGCTTGGCATACTTTCATCAATTTGTTGACCAACCTATGGTTTCTGACGAATCTGCGAAACCATGTGCTTTCTTGTTGTTTTTGGGGCAGCCGATTTTGAATTCCCTACGGCACTGAAGGTTTTCAAAGATTTTGGTCTGCGCGCGACGACGCGAACATGTGCGCGTCGTCCCGATTTTTCGCAAACGGATTCTTGCGACAGCTCGCGCAAGGGCGCCCCAACGATTTCAGCATGCGCGCGAGAGAAACCCCTTTTTATCCTCCCCAAACAAAGGTCAAATATTTTCTTTTTGTTTGTTAAGCGCGGGCGCAATTTTGTTTTGTGCAGCACCTTGTTGTTAAACCTGTGTTTTCTCCAAACAGGCTTGTCTAAGAGGAGTCGTAGCTCATCATAAGCAATTGGTCTTTAGCCCCCCCCTTTTTCCAATGACGCCCCCTTTTTTCCAATGCCCCCCCTTTTCCAATGGCACTTGTTTGCTTGCTCTTGCGTGCTTGCTCTCGCTTGCTTGCTCTTGCTTGCCCTTGCTTGCTTGCATTTGATCGCTGGCTCTTGCTTGCTTGTTATTGCTCGCTTGCATTTGATTGCTTCCGCTTGCTTGCTTGCGCTTGCTTGATTTTGCTGCTCCCGACCTCCTCCCGTCCTGCTCCCGTCCTCCTTTCGTCCTCCGTCCTTTTTCTCTCGTCCTCGTCCTGTCCTCCTACCTATTTGGAGTCAACGCTGGCTGATCTTTATGTGTTTTCGGGACACTCGATTTCGAAATCCTTGAGAAACATTTTTTCTCCAAAGATTTCGGCATGCGCGTGCGACGACGCGCGTATGTGTGCACTTTTTTTTTTGCATGAGGTTTTGGTAACAGAGCAGTTTCGATAAGCGAGTGTGCGGGCAATGATTTGCTGCAGGCGATGAGGGGGGAGGCCATGCCGGCTTGCCTGGGATGGTATGGATTCATTTTTCGGATGGACGATGGGGCAGAACCGTATGTACATTACAATACGAGAGGGGGTACCGTTCCCTCCAGGGGGGGGGGGGCTAGTTTTTTTGTTGTTTAAAAAATATAAATGAAGAAATATGGGACTGTATGTGATGCAATTTGGTGTTGCGGGCAGTGCGTTGTCGATTCTATGCTCGCTCAGTCGTCCCGCCCGCCCACCCGCGAGATGTTTTGCAAACCCATCCGGCGGCGATTGCGATGATTGCTTGGCGCTGGCTGGCGCCTCGCTGCGGTCGCGCCACCGCGCGCAGGCTCGCGTGCAAAGTGATCGGCAAATCTGGCGCGACCGACGCGGCCGCGGTGGCGCCGACCACTCGGGGCTCCCAGCGCGTCTCGCAGGCCGCGCGGACGCGACGGGCACTTCAGAGCGCGTCGGGCGGGCGCGGTGTCATGGCGACGCCGACAACGGTAGACACGGTGATTCTAGTATCGATGTTGGCGGCGACGATGACGATGACGATGGCAAGGTCCAAGGCGGCACCGATGTTGACCTTTTCGATGACGATGATGGTGTCCACTTGTCGGCGATGAGGGTTGTGGAAGGATTTCGACATGTGCCCGCGCGGCCGACGCGTGCGAGTGGCCCGTGTGGTACTAATAAACAGAGGTCGTGCCCCCCCCCCCACCACGCGCGAAAGGGCGTCCGAATCATGTCGGCACGCGCGAGCGGGATGCCCTTTTTGGTCGCTCTTAAAGAAGCAAAATCGTGCGCGCACGCTTCTTAAATACAGACATCGTTTTTCTACAACAATGCATTTTTATAGTGCTCGTGGTAGTCGATTTGGACATTGGCATCCGTTCGCGACCTAAGGTTCTTGAAGGATGTCGGCATGCACGCGCGACGTCGTGCGCGAGTGCACTTCGTCTGATTTTTAACCAAGGGTTTGTGCAAACTGATGATTTGTGATCCATGAGTGTGCGCGCGTAGTATTGTTTGGCGAGGTTGATGTGGGCGCGTGGGGTGGGTGGTTTGTGAAACTTATGTGGTGCAACCTATGTTGTGCAGTCTAGGTGGCGACAGGGCGGCGACGGGCCGGCCACGAGGCGGCGACGGCGAACACGGAACCGCCAGATTGCCACCTAGGCCCAGACGACAGGCGGCGACGAGGTGGCGACGGGACGGCGACATCGAGCACGGAACCGCCAGACCGCCACTCAGGCCCACTTCCTTTGGATACGTAAGAGCCTGTTCGGGAAACATATGCCTGTATGTATGCATGCATGCGTGCGTGCATGCACGTATGTATGGTTGTGTGTCTGTCTGTCGGTCTGTCTGCCTGTCTGTTTGTTTGTCTGCCTGTCTGTATGTGTGTAGGTGTGTGTATGTATGTATGTATGTACGTATGTATGTACGTATATACATGTGTGTGTGTTTGTGTATGTGTGTATGTATGTGTGTGTGTATGTATGTATGTATGTATGTATGTATGTATGTATGCATGTGTGTATATATACGGTATATGTTTTTATAATATGCATCTCCCCACCTAGGGGGTAAGTCGGTCAGTTGGTCCAAGGCCATGAGAGTCAGGATAAGATCGGGTACGCGATGTTTAGGCGGTGCCCCCAAGGCCCTCTCCCAGAAACAGGAGTTCGAGCCAAATGCTGCTTCTTGGAGGTTGGGTAGTTTGTATGATGGGGGCGCGGTCGATCGATACCAGGATGCCAGTGGGAGCAATGACGAGGACGACGAATAGCAGATCTAGTAAACGTAATGGCGATCACGTCGAAACGCTTGCTTGCACATATTGCACGAACGACAGCAACGCCAACACCGGCAATGATTGTTTGAGTTTTTGTTGGGTAGAGAAAAGTCAATGGGTCACGCGTTGTTGAAATCGTGCGGTGACGGGCAGCACTGCAAACGGAGGAGGGCACGAATCGGAACGAAGAGGATTTGGAGGAGTGGAAGGGTGAGGACAACGTTCGATGCTCGTGAAGCACACCCATGTGCGATTAGTGCGAGGAGTACGAGGACGGACACATGATGATGATGATTCTGATGATGGTGATCATGATGATGATGACGATGATGATGATGCTGGTGGTGGTGATGATGATAATGTTGATCATGATGGTGGTGGTGGTGAGATAATGATGAAGATGATGATGACGATGACGCTGAGTACGAAGCTGATGATGCTGATGACGACGACGGCGATGATGATGATGCTGATGATGATTATAATGATGACGATGATGATGATGATGAGGATGATTGTGATGATGATTACGATGATGCTGATGATGATGATGCTGATGAGCTCCTGCTAATGATGAAGATGACGATGATGATGATGATGATGACGATGGTAATGATAATGATGACGATGACGATGGCGATGATGGCGATGATGACGACGATGATGATGCTGATGATGATGATGCTGATGCTGATGCTGATGATGATGCTGCTGCTGATGCTGATGATGCTGCTGATGATGATGATGATGATTATGATGATGATTATGATGATGATGGTGATGCTGAGGCTGATGATGATGATGATGCTCATGCTGATGATGATGATGATGATGATGATGATGATGATGATGATGATGATGATGTCGATGATGATGATGATGCTGATGATGATGATGCTGCTGATGATGATGCTGATGATGCTGATGATACTGATGATGATGATGACGATGCTGATGCTCATGATGATGCTGATGATGATGATACTGATGTTGATGATGATGATGATGGTGATGATGATGATGGTGATGGTGATGATGGTGATGATGCTGATGATGATGATGATGATGCTGATGATGATGCTGCTGCTGACGATGATGGTGATCATGATGCTGATGATGATGATGATGATGATGATGATGATGATGATGGTGATGCTGATGATATGATGATGGTGATGGTGGTGGTGGTGGTGGCGGTGAATGTGATGATGATGATGACGATGATGACGATGACGATGCTGATGATGATGCTGATGATGATGCTGATGATGATGCTGATGATACTGATGATGATGCTGATGATGATGATGATGATGATGATGATGATGATGCTGATGATGATGATGCTGATGATGATGATGAGGACGAGGAGGAGGAGGAGGAGGATCAGGAGGAGGAGGAGGTCAGGTCAGGTCAGTTCAGCTCAGGTCAGGTCATGTCGTTTAGGTCATGCGAGGGCAGGTCAAGTCAGGTCAGGTCAGGCAGTCCTCGACAGCTTTTTAGTGAGAGCGCTACCGGGGGGTGGAGCAAAACGTTCCAGCCCAAGGAGGAGGAGGAGTAAGAGGAGGAAGAGGATTATCAGAAGAGAGGACGAGGAGGAGGGAAAGACGAGCAGCGCAGGGCCGATGGCCTTTCTAAGTGTCTCGCGCTGCGAGGTCGGGCGACCAGGTGACTGTCCACTACACTGGCGCTCTTGCAGACGGTGGCAGGACTGGATTCGCAGGGTGGTTTTGTGTGAGGGGACAGGGAGGGGTGGGGGGAGGGAAGCAGGGCCGTTTTTGCCGTCATTTTTCTTTTCCATCTTCATCCAACCCGTACTCCTGTTGCTGGTGCTACCTCTGCTATTATACTGCTCCCACTGATGCCGCTACCGCCTTGAATGCTGCTTATAGTGCTACTGCTGCTGCTAGTGCAAATGATAATGCCACTGCTGGAGCTAATGTCAAGGTCAATTACAGCGCTACTATTAAGATAATGAGCCTGCTAATGATAATGCAAATGCCGCTTCGAATACGAGTGTTATGACCGTTAGAACAGACCAAGGCTGATGTAAATGCTACGGCTAGCTACTGCTACAGATATCTGCAATGCAAAAGCGTATTTGCACGCCGCAGTTCGTTGCTGGATCAGCCAGCACGCTGCAAGGACGCCGCGAAAGCTTCAATGGTGGCGTACGGCAGCCAAGGTGCACCGTTGGTCGCACGCTCCGCAGGCCCTGAGCTCGAAGCAGTATATGTGCGCCTCCTGCGCCGACGAGGCTGGCCGAACCGCTGAACAGGTCCGAGCACAGCAGCGTGCCCAATGCAGTTTTTTGTTTGTTTTTGTTTTGTTGCTGTTTTTGTTGTATTGTTGTTTTTGCTGTTGCTGTTGCTGTTGCTGTTGCTGTTGCTGTTGTTGTTGTTCTTGTTGTTGTTGTTGTTGTTGTTGTTGTTGCTGTTGAACATTATTACTTCTAAAGAATAATTATTGTTGGGACCCCTGGTGCACGACCCCCCCGCCGCGCCTAGGCCGCAGCCTCATTTTCATCATTTTCGTGAGGAAGTCTCAGGCAAAACGGGGGAGTCCGGATCCGGTTGTGTTGTTACGATCGGTTTTCCCTTGCAAAAAATAAGCTAAAGTGGACATTTCTTGTTCTAACATAACCAAACTTCAAGAATCCCTTGCAAAAAATAAGGTAAAGTGGACATTCGCGCGCGCAAGACGAAATCCTTCCAAAACCTTAGTTTTCGTAGCGATTTTAACATAAAAACATCAAAAAACCAATGGTTTTTCAAAAAAAAATGTCAAAATTTCATCCCGCGCGCTCTTGCGGATTCGTAGGAAACCCAACACTTTTTAAACATTTCTGTCAAACGGGCTTTTGCGAGCAACTTTTTCGAACTTCTGCAACAACGGTTGCGCACCTGCCAGGGCCATCATCCCTGTCAAATAATACCATGCGGGACACATTCGTTTTTTCTTCGCGCGCGCACGCCGTCGTCGTCGGCCGCGGGGCCCTGAATAGTAGCCACGGTCGTCCGCATGCCACGAAGTGAAGTGTCCGAACGTCATAGGGCGGGAAGCTGGGTGTGGGTGGTGGCGAAGAGTCGTTTGGAAATTTGGTAGAGCTTGAACCGGCCCCCCCACAAAGTGGGGGTATTGCCCGCCTCCTATGAAAACCCTGGCACTGGTGAGAACGGAGTGTCCCCACGTGCTAGTAATTGTTGTTGTTGTTGAACATTATTACTTCTAAAGAATAATTATTGTTGGGACCCCTGGTGCGCGACCCCCCTCCAAAACCTAGGCCGCAGCTACATTTTCATCATTTTTTAGCGAAAGCTTCAGAAAAGTGAATTATTACCGGATCCGGTTGTTTTGTTGTACTCCGTTTTCCCTTGCAAAAAACACTATAAAATGAAAATTCTTGTTCTTACTTGATCAAATTGCAAGAATCCCTTGCAAAAAATAAGGTAAAGTGGACATTCGTGCGCGCAAGACGAAATCCTTCCAAAACCTTAGGTTTCGTAGCGATTTTAACATAAAAACATCAAAAACCCAATGGTTTTTTTAAGAAAAAATTGTCAAAATGTCCTTCCGCGCGCGCTGTCCGAATCCCACAAAACCAATGGTTTTTCAACATTTATGTTACATGAGCTCGCGCGAGCTACTTTTTCTTGTTCTAACATAATCAAATTTCAATAATCCCTTGCAAAAAATAAGGTAAAGTGGACATTCGCGCGCGCAAGACGAAATCCTTCCAGAACCTTAGGTTTCGTAACGATTTCAACATAAAAACATCAAAAACCCAATGGTTTTTCAAAAAAAAATGTCCAAATTTCATCCCGCGCGCGCTGTCCGACTCCCACAAAACCAATGGTTTTTCAACATTTATGTTACATGAGCTCGCGCGAGCTACTTTTTCTTGTTCTAACATAATCAAATTTCAATACTCCCTTGCAAAAAAAAGTAAAGTGGACATTCGCGCGCGCAAGACCAACAAAAAACACGACGATCTCAGGAACTTGCCCCAAAAATGTGACCAACTCCGCTCTCTCTGTCTCTCTCTCTGTCTGCTCTCTGTCTCTCTCTCTGTCTGTCTGTGTCATGTATTGTATGTCACAATTGCAGGATGCTGGGCACACGCGCGCCCCGAATAAGTGACCAAGTTCTGTGGGTGTGTACCCCACGCCAGTGTAGTAGCCACGGTCGTCCGCACGCCACGAAGTGAAGTGTCCCAACGTCATAGGGCGGGAAGCTGGGTTTGGGTGGTCGCGAAGAGTCGTTTGGATATTTGGTAGAGCTTGTAATGCCCCCCCACGAAGTGGGGGTATTGTCTCGCGTCGCATGAAAACCCTGGCACTGGTGAGAACACTGAGCGTTCGGGTAAAATTGTTGTTGTTGTTGTTGTTGTTGTTGTTGTTGTTGTTGTTGTTGAACTCTCATTCTTGAAGAATAATTATTGTTGATCCCCCCCCACCGGTGCACATTGATTTTTTTCGATTGAAGTGCCACCCCCGGGGCTCGCACCTTGTTTTTTCTCAAGGAAAGTCTTCCTGCTCAAACTGTGCCCCTGCCCCCCGGGCTACAACAACAACGGCTCCCGCCTGAGACTTCCTCGATTTTTACTCAGGACCCCCGCTCCCGCCTGAGACTTCCGCGCAATTTACTCAGGAAAGGCGCTCCCGTCTGAGACTTCCTCGCAATGTAATCAAGACCCCCGCTCCCGCCTGAGACTTCCGTGCAATTTACGTGGGAACGGCGCTCCCGCGTGAGACTTCTTCGAATTTTACTCAGGACCCCCGCTCCTGCTTGACATTTCCGCGCAATTGACTCAGGAACGGCGCTCCCGCCTGAGACTTCCTCGCAATTTAGTGAGGACCCCCGCTCCCGCCTGAGACTTCCGTGCAATTTGCTCAGGAACGGCGCTCCCGCTTGAGACTTCCTCGCAACTTAGTCAGGGCCCCCGCTTCCGCCTGAGATTTCCTCACAATGTACTCAGGACTGCGCTCTCGCGTGCGACGTCCTCACAAATTATTCTGGAATTGCGTTTCGGCGCTCAGGAACCACGCGCGCGCCAAGGACGCCTTCACAACGTGGTATCTTCCCTCTTCCTTCGTCCTTCCCCCTCCCCTTCCTCCCACTCTCCCTCGTTCTTCCCCTCCTCCTCTTGCAGGGCCCGCGCCAATTCCAATGGCGGGCAGAGAGATGTACGCCCCCGAAGGATTGTCCGCCCGTTCCGGTTTGCCCGTACGTCTAAGCCCGCCGGCCCCAGCAAAGAGAAATAATCCCCCCGAAAGGGGTGTGATCGAAGACGAAGAGGGCGGGCATCGAGGGTGTAGGGTATACGTGTTGAATGACTCGCGGGCAAGTAAGAGCGTACAGCATTAAAATGGTTGTTGTTGTTGTTGTTGTTGTTGTTGTTGTTGTTGTTGTTGTTGAACATTATTTCTTCTAAAGAATAATTATTGTTGGGACCCCTGGTGCGCGACCCCCCTCCAAAACCTAGGCCGCAGCTACATTTTCATCATTTTTTCGCGAAAGCTTCAGAAAAGTGGATTAGTACCGGATCCGGTTGTTTTGTTGTAGTCCGTTTTCCCTTGCAAAAAACACTATAAAATGAAAATTCTTGTTCTTACTTGATCAAATTGCAAGAATCCCTTGCAAAAAATAAGGTAAAGTGGACATTCGTGCGCGCAAGACGAAATCCTTCCAAAACCTTAGGTTTCGTAACCATTTTAACATAAAAACATCAAAAACCCAATGGTTTTTTTAATAAAAAATTGTCAAAATGTCCTTCCGCGCGCTCTTGCGGATTCGTAGGAAAACCAACACTTTTTAAACAATTTTGTCAAACGGGCTTTTGCGAGCAACTTTTTCGAACTTCTGCGACAACGGTTGCGCACCTGCCAGGGCCATCATCCCTGTCAAATAATATCATGCGGGACACATTCGTTTTTTCTTCGCGCGCGCACGCCGAAATCTACAAAAACCATTGGGTTTTTAAGAATGTTAGCACCGCGCATCATAAAATCACACGAATCGCACCGTAGCTCTCCTCTGGCTCTCTGTCTTGCTCTCTCTCTCTCTCTCTCTCTGTCTCTCTGTCTTGCTCTCTCTCTCTCTCTGTCTTGCTCTCATATCATGCGCAACAAATGCACGATGCGGGGCACATGCGGGGCCCAAACAAGTGATTAACCTCTGCGGGTGTGTACTCCACGCCAGTGTAGTATCCACGATCGTCCGCGCGCCACGAAGTGAAGTGTCCTGACGTCATAGGGCGGGAAGCTGGGTGTGGGTGGTTCCCGAGAGTCGTGTGGATGTTTGGTAGAGCTTGCATTGCCCCCCCACGAAGTGGGGGTATTGGCTGGCGTCGCATGAAAACCCTGGCACTGGGGAGAACACTGAGCGTTCGGGTAAAATGATTGTTGTTGTTGTTGTTGTTGTTGTTGTTGTTGTTGTTGTTGTTGTTGTTGTTGAAAACAAATGCATCACATTTTCACGACGAGAGGCGTGGGCCCTCGTCGGCGCGCCGGTCGAGGCCCTGCGGGGTCCCAGGGTGCAAGTCCCTGGGCGCGTGCGGTGCCCGCTGGCAACAGGCGGGGCAGCGGGAGAGGTCGCCGCGGCTGCCACAGGCCCCCCCCTCCCCTCCAGACGGGGCTCTGGTCAGGGGGCGGGGGAAACTCGGCGACACCGCACGGGAAGCGCGTCGGGAGCCCGCCGAAAGCTGTCACTTTAGGGCCTCCTTCGGGCGTTGCAGCGCCGCCAACATCGGGAAGGGTGGTGCTCGCCGGGTCGCTAGGCCACAGTACCCGTGCGCAGAGTACCCGTCAAGAGAGCGCTCAGAGGCGAGCGTGTCGCCAGTGGGGCCCTCGAGAACCAGCGCCTGGCCCAGGGGTCCAGCGTAGGCGCGAGGGAAAGACGGCGGAACGACGACCGCTCGCAGGCGCTTTGATCTCTAACTGGGCGTCTTGGGAGCGGCTGCTACGGGTGGAGCAGGCAACCATGAGCGCGCTATTTCTGGCCTGACAGCTCCCAGGACTGCCCCAAAGAGCCCCAAGACGGCCCAAGACGGTCCACAGGAGCCACAAGACGGCCACAGGAGGGCCCCAGCTCCAACGTCGCCCGGAGGCAGCACGAGGCCGCTGCGCCAGCCGAGCGTGCCGTCGGAACCGCTTCGCCGGGGTGCCGCTTCGCTCGAGCCGCTTCGGCTGGGGGATCGCTTCGGCTGTGGCACCGCTCCGCTGGCGGACCGCTTCGCTGGCGACACGCTCCGCCAGCGGACCGCTCCGCCGGCGGACCGCTTCCCCGGCGGACCGTTCCGCTGGCGGGCTGGTTGGCCAGCTGGTCGCGTTCGTCGACCTGGTCACCGTCGTCGTCGTCGTCGTCGCCGTCGTCGCCGTCGTCGTTGGCCTCGCTGCTCCCGTCCCCGCCTCCCCATCATTTCACCGTCCCTGCCTGCGTGCCCGCTCGGCGGACCGCCATGGGCTGGTCGGGCGGTCGGTCGTTTCGCACGGAGCTGTGTGCTTACCCCACCTCGGCGTTGATCCATATCGCGGCGCTGGCGGAAGTAAACATTGCAACTCAGGAGGTGAGTTTTTTTTGATCCAGGGTTTTCGGAACCCGCTATACAGGTCGGTGTCCTTGGAAGGACCCCGCAAGCTTTGACCCATGCTTATTTGTTTGTGCTTCTGGAGGACCCCGTGACAAGGGCCGAGATGGGGACTGCTCTTGCTGTAGTTCCAGCGTGCAGCAATTCAGCTGGGCGGTCAACGCGTTCGCTTCGCATTCGCAGCCTTCGGAACCTTAGATATTGGGTTTGCGCAGAGGGTGTGCCGCCGATGTTGCGTGGGGAGCCAGCGATCGCTACATCGTAAGGTCCTGGATCCCAAGTGCATATCTGCGGAATGAAAGCTGGTGGTTTTTGTTCTTTAAATGAGCTCTCCACGGGTTTACATTGCAGCAGCTCAGTGCGCTACCTGCGTTTCCTCGCCTCAGGACCAAGAACAAGCATGTCCGTCTTCTACCTCCACCGTTGAGTTGATCAATTCCTTTCTCCTTCCCTACCCTCTGCCTTATTTTCTTTGCAGCACTCTCCAGGCAGTTCGACTCGTCGCGATCCCGCGGGGAGCCCATCCAGTTCATCCTTGGCCGCGGCAAGGTCAGAGGCTCTGGCTGCGGTTTGGAGGGATACATCCAGGAGTGAAAAACACAGACACAATTAATCGTCGATTCCCAGGAAAATATCGGAACATATGGGAAGTGGGGGGGGAAGACGAAAACCAAGAAAGTATCGGAAAATATTGGGAATCTCGTTATTTGTGTGTATTTATTGGTGTGTCCCAGGGCCGTTTCATATATGTGGAGTAGAGGTATAGATAGCACATAGGGCAGGCTGCCGCTCTCGGCGGCTCCCTGAAGAGAGGGCCAGCTCTACCGGCTCGTCCCCCCCGCCGTGCTGTTCTGCCCCAGGTAGGCTTTGCCTAAGGGGTGCTTACTTGTCTGTTAGAGAAGCCGCAGGCCAAGCAATGCCAAACAATGCCGAGCACTGCCAAGCAGTGCAAAGCAGTGCCAAGCAACGCTTCCAAGCCATGCCAAGCAACGATCACAAGCAGTGCCAAGCAACGCCAAGCGGTGCCAAGAAAAGCAACACCTATGCCAAGGAATGCCAAGCAGCGCAAGAGCAGTGCCAAGCAATACAAAGCCGATGCCAAGCAATGCGAAGCACCGCCGAGCACTGCCGAGCACTGCCAAGCAATGCCAAGCAATGCCAAGCATCGATTCAAAGCAATGCCAGGCACTGCCAAGCACCGTCGTGCAGACCAAGCAGCGATTTCAATCAATGCTTTGCACTTCATTGCCTTTCATTGCTCATAATGTATTGAACGAAAGAACCCGAATTGGGGTCGCGCCCAGTTTATTTTTACGCCCTGGCAGGCGTGCAAGGGGTCACACGCCTTTGTGAGAATCTAGCGTCGGGCTCCGTTGTGGGCCCCTTAGTGCATTGCACGGGACGAGAACGGTTACATCGCAGAAGTTTGTACAACTACGAGCTGTGTGAAACAGTTGGAGCAGCAAGCGACGATGACGATGGGAGCCAGGCATATTACCCAGATGAAACAGTTCAGCAGTCAGATTTGGAGTGAGATGGGATGGATCTAACTGAAAGAGGGAATGGAGGGACGTAGGGAGGGAGGGAGGGAGGCAGGGAAGGGGATGCTCTGGGCGGGAGGAAGGGAGCCAGAGGGACAAGGAGGAGAGTACAGGTAGCAGATTAACGGATGCAGCGTTTCGGCATGCTTTTCCGTTATCTCTGGTGTCAAAGAGAAGCGCTGTGCATCCCACTGCGCGCCAACGCGCCGACGCGCGCATCATCTGTCTCGGGTGCAGGCCAACGGCGTTCTCTTGAGAAGAGCTGGCCATGGAGGGTACGAGGGTATTGGGATGTATACGTACATTTGCACATGGATGCTGGGGCTGTGCCAGGGACGTCTATAGACTTATGGATCACTGTGCCTCCAATACCTATTGCTCACTGATTTGGCTCACCGGCAGTATCTAAGCAGGATGGCATGAGACTGACATGCCGCTTCGAAGTGTACGAGTGATCATTCCAAGCTCAAGGAGTTACTCGTGTCAGTCCTCATCATCGCTCTCAGGTGCTGTACTGTACAGGGAGGGCTGCTCAAACGCACTACTATGTGGCTTCATATCCTCTGCCTTCGCCTCTCTTCGTGCACCAGCTCTCCCCCGCAGCTGAAGTACGCAACCGAAGGACCCACCATACTCATTCAATCCGTAAGGGCTTCGCCCCCTGCCGCCGGCCCCCTCTCTCGGAGAATGCGCTATGCAAGAGCTATGTCATGAGGCCTGGGCGCTGTCGTGAAGCAATATCGGAACTTCATGCGAGGCCGACTCGTATTGAGCAAAATCAATTGATCACCGGAGGGGTTACCACATTTGGCGATTGGTAAAACGTCGTGGCCCTACGGATCTGCGTGAGGGGTGCCGCCGAATTTCAGAAATGTAGCAAATACTCTGTGTTTATGGACCCTGACCCCGCCGATCTGCGTGAGGGGTGCACTGAATTTCAGAGATGTGGCAAATCCCTTGTGTTTTTGGACCCTGACCCCGCCGATCTGCATGAGGGGTGCCACGGAATATCAGGAATGTGGCAAATCCCATTTGTTTTTGGACCCTGGCCCCGCCGATCTGCATGATTGGTGCCACCGAATTTCAGGAATGTGGCACACATTGGGCCCTGACTCCGCCGATCTGCGTGAGGGGTGCCATCGAATTTCAGAAATGTGGCAAATCCCATGTGTTTTTGGACCCTGACCCCGCCGATCTGTGTGAGGGGTGTTAATTTTTACCCACCCCAGCAATTCAGACAATACGATTTCTCTGTGGTGGAAGTGCCCGTTTTGGGCCTCCCCCCCTCGCGCGGTCCATCAACAAGGAACAGTAAGCAGCAAGAAGTCAACAAGGAACAGTAAGCAGCAAGAAGCAGAACTGTAACAGTGGAAACTGGAAGCTGCAACTGGTACAGGAAACTGCGAACATCCGGCCTACAGCCTGGTGGCCCCACAAGGGGGCCGGCGGATTTTATATACACATTGTATTTGTACCCTACGAGCACGCATCCAGAACACGCGAGGAACTGCCACCTCTGCCAGGCCCTGGGAGCGTGGTGCGCATGGAAACAGAAACCCGTGCGTACCACTTGTGGTGGCGAGGAAGTGCAAACCCTGCGACGCTCTTGATGGTAGGACGGGTAGTAGGGGCTGCATCCCTTGCGCACTCCTTCTGGTTGCGAGGAAAGGGTCTGCCTCCCACGCCCTTGGAGCGTGAAGCGGATAGAGACCGCTCCCTTTGCTCACTCCCTCTGGTGGCGATGAAGTACCACCCCTGCCGCTCCCTGGGAGCGTGAAGTGGATAGAGACCGCCCCCCGTGCGCACCCACTTCTGGCGGCGAGGAATTTACATACCTGCCGCGCCCTGGACGGAGGGCATCTCGACGCGCGACGCACGGAGGAACAACACATGGAAATCCCAATTCCCAGAATCCGAGTTTCAGGCTCGAGAGGTGAGGTCTTGGCTCGTCCGTCTGCGGCGCGCCTCCCGTCTGCTCCGCGTTTTTCGCCCTAGCCCTTGACTTGGCGGGCACGCGCGCGCGCGCCTCTCCATTCCGCCTGGGCGCCCAGCGAGAACGCTCTTCAAGTGCCCGCACCAGTGCGCTGAGGGGCGACGCGTGTGCGCAGATTGTCCGCGACGCGGGTAAGTCGCGGGCGCGAATCTGTTCGATTCGGTATCCTGTTCTCTGTCGCCAGCGCCAGCGCGCAGTTTCTGCGATGCGGCCCGTCGATGGTCCGCGGGGTGTGCAGGTCATGCGTCGCCCTACCCACGCCAGTGCCAGCGCGCGGGAGGGCGATACGATCACCCGATTGACCGCGCCGCGGGCCACACTCGCGCCGCGGGCCACACCCGATTGTCCGCGGAATGCAAATCCATGCAGGCTCGCGCTGGCGCGAGCCTGCATGGATTTGCATTCCGCTTCTGGCAGCAAGCGCCAGCGCTGATGGGCTCCCCTGGCGGGTGGGCCACACTGTTCGCCCGTGAACGCCCGAGCCGGTGCGCTACGAGGCGACGCGATCAGCAGATGATCCGCGATGCTGACGACTCGCCAGTGCGAGTCGGTCTGCGTCGTCGGTCTGCCCTGGTCGCCAGCGCTGTCGGACGTGGGCAACGTTCCGCGAGAGCGCTCTCGCGCACTGCTGGAGAAGCGACAGGCTGGACGACGCGATCAGCCGAAGATCCGCGATATGGGCGGTTCGGCGGTGTGAGTCTGTTTGCATCGGCAGTCAGAGTACTGGCGCCAGCGCTGGAGCGCTGACGAAAGACGCGGCCCGTCGATGGTCCGCACCGATCTTGCGCGGGACCGCTCTCGCGCCTTTTGTCGGTGAAGTGCCTCAGTGGAGTGCCGCACGGCGACGTCGCCCTGGTCGGAGGCGTCGGCGCAGCCTTTCCGTCGCGCCGATGCGCGGTAGGCGTTCTGTTGCGTGCCTGCGCAGGTCGCGACTAGCGCGCGCGCGCGCGCCAAGGAAGCAGCGGCGCCAGGGTGGCCGCCTATGCAGGCTCGTGCCCGCGCTGCTTGGCGCCAGGAAAATGTATCTCTTCCGCTTGGAGCAATTTTGCCTAGCAGATCTTGGACATTGGATGCTGTGAAATGCCTCCCGCCCTCAACGGTTTCCATGCGTGGTTTCTGACGTTCCGCTTGAATGGTACCTTCAGCAATTGCGTTTCGTGCGTCGAGCTGGCGTGCCTTGAGGGCACTTTGAGCACCGCTGCCTTCTCGCAGGCTGAGATTCGCCAGGCGCGTGCGACCATCGACGCGCGTGGCAACTTCAGCCCGCGCCAGAATTGTGCACGCCCGAGGTGGAGGTGACATCCATCATCAGGATGATATGTCCGGCGCAAGCAATTTGCGCCTTTGGGCTCTCTCTCTTCGTGGCCCGATGCGCGCGTCCGTTCGTGCTTGGCGTCGTGCTCCTCGATCCAGGACGCATCTTTTCTTCGCGTGTTCTGTGGGTGTGATGTGCACTACGCGCGGGAGAAGTAATTCCTGGCGATCGCAAACATGGATCACGGGGGCATGTATTAGCGACGGGTCCCGTTTCCAACGGAAATCGCGGATTTCCGCCGCCGAACGAGGCGGCAGCGGCCGCACGTTTGGGAGGGCATCTCCCCCGATCCATGTCTGCGCGTCCCCGAATCTTGGAACCACATTGAGGCTTCCTCTTTGTCCATCCTGGATGCTCAAACACCTCGCGACCGGTCCCGTCCAGACCCAGGGATTGGGGGGGCAGGGGAAGAGGTTACCCTTCCCCGAGTGGAGTGAGAGTGAGGTCGATGATGATGAGGACGATGCTGATGAGGACGAGCATTCTTCTGCGCGAGTGACACCCGATGCGCGAGCGCTCCTTCGCGCCGTGTTCACCGTGCCCTTCGCTCCGGGACGCGGCCTTGCCTCGTGTGCCCCGTGCGCGTGACGAGCAGAGCGCGTGCGCCGGGCACCGCCCGCGGCGAGCGGCGAGGCCCGTGGCCTTCCTCGGGCGGGCAGGGGGGCAGGGGGCACTCTCCGGGCTGAGCTCGCTCCGGCTGCTGCCGAGTCGGGGGTGCACCTCTACCGGAGGCATCTTCAAAAGTCGTCAGACACTCGTCTGGGGGCGGTTTTTCCAGTATGTTTCGACTATTTTTTTGATAATTTCTTTGGACTGCTTTCTATCTTTCGCCCAGAATCCGCCTGCAGGGGGACATGCCCGACCTAAGGCTACTGGCTGGATCTGCCAGTCTGCCCCGACTACGGTCGCTGGAGGGGAAGCGTGAAGGGGCAGGGAATAAAGCCTGCGCCCAGTGGGTTCAATCTCGAAGGAGTATGCCAGACATCCCTCCCGTTCAGCGCCATCATCACAGCTCAAGAAAGGATAGGCCGGCCGTAGGCACAGCGCGCCCGAAGGTTTGGCGCTGAACCTGAGAGTCGAATGCGGCAGGCACTGAAGGGATGTTCGCGAAAAATCACGATGAGGCTTTTGTGCCCGCCGTGGAACTCCGCGTAGTGGTCGCGACGAGCGTCCCAATTGAAGAGAGGCGCAGCCAGACACGAGATTTGGCCCATGGGTGTCCCAAGGTGGCTTGGTAGTGATTGGATGAGTTGTATTGCCGGGGTACTGCCGGATAGTGCATGCCATGAATACAGGTCGTTCTATTATCACATCAATTCCTAAATCAGGGACACTACAATGAGTGCTTTGGTCACACTGGCTGGTCCGAGTGGCCGGATCTGTTGCATAGAAACTGGGAGCTGGTGTGGCGCGATTTCTGAGAAGTCTGGCAGAATTCCGCTGTCATCGGGCAGCGCGCCCACTTGCTGTGCTGAGGGCTGCGGCCCGTATTGATTTGATTCATATGAATTTGAATTAAGCGAGCGTTTTGGACAGCTAGAAGCTACCGCCCATGGCGGAGAGTTGAGCAGTTTCTAGCACGTTGCATGTATATCATGTCGCTTGATTGACGTGATCCCAAGGAGGAGCGGCCACTTCTGTGCAAGGGCCTCGTTTTGCATCCACATCGCATCAAGTCGTACATTCTGCTGTTGTTATCCAGTCGCGCTGCAGCGCGA